GGGATCGCAACACCTGGTGGTTGAGGCGGGACCCAGCTCCTTTGGATGGAACTCACTTCCTTCGATTCAGTTTCCAGTTCTGTTATCTTTACTGCTTTTCTTTTCCACCATGGCTCTGAAGAATCATTAGCTTTCCCGTTGATATAGGACGGGAGGCCATTATCTTCGTTGCTGGAGCTTAGAACTTCACTGGAGTTTTGCTGAGGAACTTCCCATGGCTGCTCAATAACAATAGATGCACCAAGTTATAAATAGAAGCAGCATATACTTTATTTGAGAGGAGTGGTCGTTCAAGTGGTATTAGCAGTTATGTTAATTTCACACAGACCCCCTGTCATATCATTGTCTTGCACTTACCACCCTTGTAGTTTCATTGTTGCAGTTAGACCCCCAGGTATTTATTATTATTATTATTTGGCCTCTTTTACCGTTTGAGAAAATTTGGCAGATGTTGCCTTGTGGTTGAATTAGTGAGTCGAGGGTAAAAGAGTTGAAAAAAATCTAACCCAAGGGGTCCATCTGCAAAAAATATAGCTACAGTGGTCGTAAGTGCAAAACAACAATACTACAGGGGATTTAGGTGCAATTAACCCTAAATTGATTGTAAGCAATTTGAATATATTTTTTGACTATTTTGTGAAAGCATATACCATCAGAACACTTTCCGATGCCCAATCCATTTAGCATTGTTTTAAATGTCCCCAACATGGCCCGGTATATCCTCTATAAAGTTTACTGCAAAACAACATGACTTAAATATCCTTTACTATTTTTTAGCAATTTTTGGGTAATATATCCCCGATATGGCCGACATATCAGCTGATATGTTGACCGATATGTCCTTTTATATGGCTTGTTGCAAAACAATACCCCACTTTTGGTAATTTTTAGATGACATATCATGATTTTACTAATATATCAAGTGACATTTTGACCTCAAAGAATCGGCTGACATGTTCCAATGCTGATCTGAACTTTGGTTTGTTTAAAAAGTTTGATTAATGATCCTAAGCATATATACCTACATTTATGTATGCTCAGATTTCCTTAAGTATGTTTAGATTACATTTTAGGACATACTATTATATATGCATATTATCGGACATAGCACTCCGATATTTACCGTATATCCCCTATATCTCCCGAATATTCAATCCAATATAAATTTTGGTCGTCCGATATTTCTCCGATATCCAATATTCAAACCTTGCAAGTTAGAGGGCTTAAATCCAACCATCTACTTATTATTATTATTATTATTAGCTGTTGGGATTTAATTCTTCCAACTTAGATGCAAGAATTGTTCTGATAAGATTCATACTCTATATTATGTGTGCGCTATCAGTGACCCACTACTCATCATAATAATGTACATAACTTGCCAGCATAAACGTGTGAGTCTTAAGTGATTGTAGCATCCATTAGCACACAGTTTGTGGTCTATATATTTCAAGTGGTAGACGCAAACTTGTCTGTGTAAAAGAGTTGAGTACGTCGGTTGGGTACCACACATGCGCATGGAAACACACGAATAATGAGGCACCCTTTTATACAAAAACCTTTAAGACCTATATTCCTGCTCATGAATATAATATGTATGCATACAAAATACACATTATATTCATGAGCAGGATCATAATCGAATACTAAGACGAATAACTAACTAGCTATTTGTTCATTTTGACTCATCTTTTGTATGCATACAACAACAGCAACAACAATGTCTCTATCCCAAATGTTTGGGGTCGGCTAATTTTCTATACATACACATTCGATTCATTTGATTATTAAATATTTGTTTATATTATTTTATTTCCATAAATTAAATGTATTACAAATGATATTCATCCTATCAACAATACTGTTTAATTCCCATAAAAATTGGAGGGCGAATCAACAATACACACAAACTGGAGTATATATCCAAAAATACCCATAACAAAATTAAAAAGGAGAAAGTCTATAAGTAATAGGCCTCGAACCCATGGCCATCACATCAATAGTCATGAATAGTTAATGAATTGTTAGCTATACATGCGAATCAAATTCGATTATCACTTTGATATTCGAATCAAATTCGAACGCATCAAAATTGACTGAATTTGAATTGGAATATCACAGTATTAGTTTCGATTCAGTTCATTTACAACCCTAGTCATGACAAATCCATGTTCTAACCTTAGGTCGAGGTGCTAGCACAGATTTACTCGGCTCCTGATTGGGATTAGGGGGCATGTCATTGATATCCTGGGTAAAAAGAATATGAATGTGTTAAAACTTAAACCATAACAAGAAAGTAATATTAGTCACATGCAAAAAAAAGTGAGTTAAGTTTACCCTGATGTTTGGAGGCCTTTCCCCCCTTTGCACCATGGCCATAATCTGAAAAGTAAAATTAAAAAAATATTGAACATACTAATTTTCCTAAGATAGCTCACACCCACTATATGCTAAAAAAGATGAGAAAGCTTTCCGTACTTGGCAAGAACAAGAGATGACTCATGGACATGTTCAATAAGAATACATGTTAATATAAAGATGCAAAATGTCCAGAATATCTCATGTTTAACATGGTTCAAAAAGTTTTTCATCTTGTTCTCTGTATCTGTATTTGCATGAATAACCAATCCATGCTATTCAGATAGTGTACCTCATGCCTTTTTAAGTTTGTTTTCAACAATCTTTTCTCCCACTTTTTTCTCTCTTCTCCTTTTCTTTTGGTCTTCTTTTTTTTTTTTTGGGGGGGGGGGGGGGATAATAACATATGACTATACAATAATCCTTTATGGGCAATAATGTCGGACAGCCAAGATATATGATTTTCCAAAAAAGAGAAAAGGCAACTGTAGCAAAAATAAGAACGTTGAGCTAGCTCCAATTAAGGATAAACTAAGAGAGTAACTGACAGAGATGATATGGACATGTGCAAAGCTGCCAATAAGCATATCAGTTAAGAGGGGCAACGAAATAGTAAATAATGAATATGTAAAGACTCAAGCCTTGGCAACTCTTCACTAACCTGGCTAAGGCCTCAACCAGGTTAGTTTTGAACTAGGTAGCAGGGTGGATCAATCTTAACCTGGATAAGGGCCAAAAAATGAACTAACAAAATATGGTTTAGAAGGTGTTTGGCCTTATTTTAGCCCCGCCCCCAACCCACCCACCCACCCACCCAAAAACACACAACGCGCCGCAAAGGCTTATCCAAGTTTGCTCCACTAGCTTGGTTAGTGGAAGAGTTGCCAAACACTCCCTAAAAGTGACATGTATGGACACAATTGTAGTTGTTAACTTAGTAGGGCAGATAACCTTTGAGAAAGCTAAATGGAAGAAAATGATTCGTGTAGCTAATCATAGATAAACCCATAATCTTGCTCCGATCGTCAACGAGAAGTAAGCTCGGCACGAGCATCGAGTGAGACATCTCATCGCCACATCAAATCCACGTTAAACAAAGGAGAAACTGAATCAATCTTCTCTTTTTCTGTACTTGAAAAAGAACGACTGTAAAAAGATTCTTACAAGGCGATAGAATCTCTTCTTACAACCAAGCAGTTGAAGAACCAGTCGTCTTGTCTTTTTTTGAGACCGTACAGAAGATGACGACCACAGTGGGAGAAGTCATTTTCTCTGAAGAAATGATCGTGACGTAGTAGGACAAGATTGCCGTGGGGACTGACGTCGAAACTCTCATCATTGAGTTCGATCAATCCAAGTATGAAGAGTTCCTCTCCTCCCGTACTCCGAGTCCCACCAAAGCACGTAAGTGCCACAAAGTCTCTCATGAGACTCAAGCTAATTCGGCTTCTGACAACTCAACCCGAGTTTGCCTTGAGGAGAAATCCTCGCCTCTGACTGTCGAGGCTCTGAGAACTAGCCGTCAGGCTAAACGATGTGTCGCCAAGCAGCCCAAGCAAACTTCAATTGCTGTAGAGTCCGCTGTCAATTTGTTATCAAAGAGGGTGAGACGACGTCAACGCCAAAATCAGGCTCGTCGTAAAGCCTGCGCCTTAGTCTCTCTGGATGGCTTCCACTATCGGCCCAGAGATGACACTGATAGAACTCACAAGCTGGTCGAGGCTCGCCCAACTGAGGTGCGTCAAAATGACAAACCTCGCCCACAACGCGAAACTCACCATCGCTGCCTGTGCGTCCAAGTTCACCCAGATGACGAACCTCGTCTTCAACACGAGGCTCGTCCAAGACGACAAGTTCGTCTCCCGAGCCAGGTTCGCCCCACTGTCGAGGCTGGCAAAACTGAGGTGCGTCAAAATGACGAACCTCGCCTCCAGCACAAGGCTCGCCCCATTACTAGGCCACCTTCAAGTTGCCAAGTCGAGGTTCGTCTAAGATGTCAAATTCATCTTTCCTGATACCATGTACATCTTAGTACAACCAAATATATTCATGAAGCATGAAGAAAGTTTGTAAACCAACATGATATTCTGCCAAAAGTGAGTTTAAAGGTAACGAACATCAAAACCATCTCTACTCATCTCTTATGTATTGGTTCATTTCAAAACCATCAAAACCATCGTCTAAGAAAGTTTAGATGTTTGTTGTGAAATGACTTTTCTTATGTATTGGTTCATTTCAAAATTAAAGAAATATGGGACACAACCAACAATCAGAGTGACAATTCAAGCAAGGTGATTACAATCTGAAGAAAAGAATATGCTAATTCAGGTCATAGGGAATACAAAGATGGACCTTAAGCAGGCCGACATGCTATGAGAATGTGACTATAACGTAGGGGAGAAACAAAGACAACAGCACTGAAGGGCAGTATGGAAATTGTAGTCCAAGAAATATCTAAGCTTAAATGGTAGTATCTTGCCATAAATATAATTTGATAAGCTTTATGAAGTTTCATACCTCCATATACGACTTTGGGTGGGGTGCAGGTTCTACAGTTGATGGTGCTGATGAAGGTCGTACTATTTAGTAAATTTGACAAAGTAAATCAATATAAGAGGTTTAACTATACAATACAGATTCAAAATAAGTGGTAAAAAGAAACTACCTGCAGCATAGTCAGGATTTGTGCCATTCACTTTCACTTGCTGAAAAGAAATGCAGAATAAATGAGAATATGAGAAGATAACTTTAAAAAATCTTTTTCTTAAAGAGTACTTCAACATAAAATATGAAGGAAATTATATATGACATACCTTCTGTATGGATGAGAGATTTGCATCTGCCAGATTGACCTGAGGAGTTCTCCATGAATTGTTAGTAGTCCCCGCAGCTAGTCCAGAAACACAAATATCATACTTAATTCTAAGACTTAAAAGACTCTTCAAAGCATATCTTTGTTATATGTCCTTGTATATTTATGAGATTTTTGTAAAAGTGTTCCCATTATATGACCGAGGTACTGGAATGACAACTGTAATCTAACATACAAAGGTCCAAAGACATAGTATCATGTGAATTCAGTCATATAACAACTCACCATTCCCTATATTGGATTGAATGTACTCTTCCATCATCTTCTCCTTAGAATGGCTATTTTCCCTTGAGCTTTCCAACTTTCGGATAGCTTCACCCATAGATTTCATCTCCTTCACTTGGACATCCATCGCACTCATAAAAGCCTCAAAGTACTTCCTCTCTGACACGAAATAATAGGGGGAAAATTAATCATATTAGAAAATCCCATCTCAAGTAAGAGCTGACAAGATCAAGTTAGCTGTGAGAACCTTCATTTTTGGACTTCAGTAATTCTTCACTTGCTTTAGCAACAACAGCAGCAGCCGTGGCAGCTGCTTTTGCAGCTTCTGCCGTTTGATCAGCAAGAACTGAATGCTTCACTTGCTTTAGCAACAACAGCAGCAGCCGTGGCAGCTGCTTTTGCAGCTTCTGCCGTTTGATCAGCAAGAACTGAATGCTGTTCTTCTTCCTTCTCAGATTCTTTTTCTTCTGCTACAACTTTCTTTATCCAAGTTTTCAACCTTGGAACTACAACTTTCTGCATAAAGCAGCTATATCAGTATGCATAATACATGAAAATGTAATTAATAAAAATACTGATACAAATATAAATTGAAAGAACAAAATATACATATAAAAACAACAATGTTCATTCTAAAATTTTTAGGCCGGCCACATATTCTTCCGTTTCAATTTTATTTTGGGTTATCTCCTCCATTATGTTAGCTATTACCCTATCCTTCTTAATTGGTTCCAATGAATTAGTTATTAGCACATCCTTCTCAATTGTTTCCTACGACGTTTTTTTTTTAATTTAGATCTATCTCTAGTTTCTTTGCCCCGTTAACCATATCCTTATCACTTCTCTTAACTGATGCATTTAGTGGTCTCTGTTGTGCTGCTTGTGCATGACCAAACCAATCTCAATTGATTCTCTCATATATTATCCTCGATGGAAGCAACATGTAACCTCTTATAACCACACTCATTTCAGGATAAGCCAAAGAGCAAATTATACATATTTGCACATAACATGGATGAACATTGTCCATGAAAGACAATAATGGCACAAGTGTAAACCGAAAGTAATTTATACCTTGAAGAAGACAGCACTTCCAGCACCAGAAGCAGCAAGCACACCCACAGCAATTAAAGCATGTGACCACTGAAACCTTGACTGTTGCACACTTGAGATGATGGAAGCACTGTTAACTGGAAGACTTGCAGGTTGTGGAGCTTGAGTGGGAGCTTGCGCTTGCAAACTGGTAGATGAATTTGGTCGGGCAACTGTTGAATGAGGTGAAAAATGTAACATATGTCAATAATAAATAAATAGATATATACCAAAGAAATGTCACTGCACTGGTCTTGGAAAGAAAAATTAGAATCAGGACATGGAATTACTGAGCAGATTTATAGATGGATATGAATATAGATGTTTACCTAGTCATATTGTTAGTATCTAGTTTTCTAAAACCCATTTTAAAGGTGACCCTGTAGTTGTATTATATATCTAATTAAAGCATTAACACATCCTAATTTAAGTGACTTGCGCACTTGCATAAAGTACCTGAAATACTATTTCGATGTGTTTAAAAGAGAGATCAGGAGCACACTATCTAGAAACTCAGACCGTCAGAAGAAAGAATTGGGAGAGAACTCCAGAAAAGGAAATTCTAGGTGAAATGCAAATTGTCATTAAATTTGTAAAAATGCAAATTCATGAGTGATCACCTTCAAAATCCTATTATGTTCTACTTTTTGATTAGCAAAAATCATATTGGCACTCAATATACTTTCCATGTAAATCTTTGCTTTTGGAGAACAATGAATAGTGGATATAAAATAATAATAAAGTTACAATGTACGTTTAAAAGAAAAAAGGACAATGCTTAGGTTTTTTAAATTTTATCTTCCTTATGAAAGGATGAGATGAAATCAGACAATAGAAAACCAGTATCTCCAGCTTCTCTTATCTATTTATATTGGTTCCTTTTAAGCACTCAAGGATCACTCAAGAAATAAATTCACAAAACTGGATTACACATAAAGTTTTTGCCCCTCCAAGCATTTCAATAAACAATTACCTTGATTTGTGACAGCAGCCCCAGCAGACGTTGCATTTGATGGTGGATCCTTAAAAAAAAGTACAAAATCTTAAGTTCAATCAATTTTCCTGAAGAATTAGATTGATGGGAGAGCTAATAATTGCTAATAAAGTGCAAAGAAAAACACTACAATAATCTTACAGGAACACGATGAAAGGCTTCATCTATTTCCTCCTTGGTGAGGCCCTTCTTCTCGAGAAATGAACGCCTGTAAATAACTGGAGAGCCCCTCACTTTTGGATGCGACAGAAACTTAACAGCGTTTTGCACTTGATCCTCTCTCATCGGTTCCGAAGGTGCAAGAAATGGCCTTTCTGAAATATCATTGACAGCTTCAGCAGCTTGTCCATTCCCATCAACTGGTTTCGACAACTCAGTTCCTTGAACTAATAAAACGTCAGCAGCATTAGTGCATTAAAAGTGAAAATTTTGAGTTTCACTAGAAACGTCACAGGGAAAAAAATTACTGAAATTATTGCACATTTGGGAGCAGTTTAAACTTAAGGATGCTTTACCAAACTGAAGTTCAATTGTAGTTCGGTTAGCTGTAGTTTGGTTAGCTGCATTTACAGAGATCCAATCAACTGGATATTTTTTTCTTCTTGTCGAATTTCAGTGGATAACTTCATTTCATACCGAAACGGACCATAAGTCACTGAAACTAGGGTTAAGAAAACTACAACTATAGATTTCCAAACAACAGTTCACACTTAAAGTCTACATCTTAAAATAACGATAATTTACGTCTTAAAATAACGATAATTTAGAACAATCTCAACCAATATCAACTGTTCCAATCCTTGCCAAATTCCGCATCCATTATAATTAAACCCTGGCATCCACAGGGAGTTAAATGCTTCAAACCACCACTTCTTGTATTAAGTCTTCCAATTTCCTCCGAATTTCCAAATTAAAGAACCCTAAATCCAAATTCTACCCAGGTAGAAAAAATATTGCCACAAAAATCTCATCTGGATCACTAGATTTTAGATCAGAACTTCAGAATTTTTTTCCAAATATGGTCAAATTTTGGCATTAAGCTACAAACACCCAATAAAATTCGCAGAAATTAAAAAAGATTAAAACTGCAATTATTGATTAACAAATTAAACGGACCGTTATCCAACTTTTCAAACTAAATAAAAATTACGCATAGAAATCTCATCTGGCTCCCTAGATTTCAGATCAAAACTCCAAAAAATTTATATATAAAAATGGAAAAATTGGGACATAATTGGATAGTTAAACTACTAACACAGTGATAAAACCCAGTAAAACTAAAAAGGGAGTGAAAATATCACCTGGGCTTTGTGGGTTCTGGTCGGTGATCACCTGGGTCTGAGGCTTTGGGGCTCGCGTCGCCATGGGCGGAGCTCAGTGGAGATTTGGATTGAAGAGGATAATAAGGGTTTTGCCGAGGGGGGTAAGTGAATAAAAGCCAGATATTATGAGCACAAGTCTATTACGATAATTAGTTTATTTATTAGCGTGCGTCAGATACGAGGGATTCTTTATGGGGATCGTTATGGAGAGGACATAGATTTCTAAAATAGGCAAAAAAGAAAACTTTGGATAATTGTGGAATGTGAACCCTCAAAAGGAAAAGAAAAAAAAAATCTCTCATTACTCCTCTGGGTCCCACTTGCCATTCAGATGATATGGTGAAATTATCTTGGCTAAATGCTACGAATACCATATAGTTGTCCAGTTTTGCCACTTATATGTAACTATGAATTGTTTTTTTAGCAAATAAATACCATTGATGCTCTAGATCATGCAAACATTAAAATTTTCATCATATGACTCTTAACATAATAATTTATAACTTTTTAATCATTAATATTTATTAAATTTAAATTTATCATTAGACACATCTCGTCTTTATTTTAAAGTAAAATTAAATTAAGTTTAAAAAGGAATTTCGGTAGATTTCATAGCAAATTTAACAAATATTAATAGTTAAAAATCTTTAAAATTAGGATGTAAATATCATAGAAAAATATTTAGGTGAAATCTTTCATGTTAGCATGATCGTTCGTACAAACTTACTGATTTTAAATAACTTACGGTATTTATTTGTCATAAAAACCAACTCATGATATAAAAATGTTAAAATAGGAAATTTTATGATATTTAAGTGTCATTTAGCTAATTGTCTTCTACCTTGACTTTGTTTTTATTTCTTCTTTTCTATTTTCACCGTTATCTGAGGCCGTGTGGTTGGAGCGAAAAACAAAGAAAAGTTATTTCCCACTTTTGAAATGTGAGCCCATAAAGGAAATGAACTTCAAATTCGTTGTTTGCATATCTACAATTATATGAAAGAAAATGTGTTTTCAATGCAAATTCAGTGTTTGGTTAAAAAACAATCAGTACAAAATCTATCTAATCTTATCATATAAGGAAACTTTGGCATGAATTGTTTGGTTAAAAGGATTTATTTTGATTAGGTAGAATAGTTTTTATTTTTAATTTTTTTTTAAAACATTGTAGCTTTTCCTTCCATCAAATTGGTTATAGCATTTGTTGCAAGTTCTTCTACCAAATGCAAGTCTATTTAGCTTTCCTAATTACAAAATTGTGAGGGAATGTATTTACAAATATAATTGCACTAATTACTCTTGTAACTTCATTTCCATCCAACCAACTAGCGATTAAAGCTGACAAAAAGGTGTAGAAATGAAAAAGCGAAAAGTGTTCCTAAGGTGTCGCCTTAGATAATTATCTAAGGACGCGGCCTAAAATCACATGACTAAGCTACATTGTGGATGATCCGCTCCGTTGAACTTGATCTACATATTCTAAAACTCCAACACACCAAGTTTGGGATGAACCCATCGTCGTTTGACCCTCCGTCGAGCCATGTAAAAAATACTATTCATTCGAAACCGTTAAAATTGATACGAGTAGATGAATGGTCAAACAACGACGGGTTCATCCCAAACTTTGTGTGTTGGGGTTTTAGAATATGTAGATCAAGTTCAACGGAACGGATCATCCACAATATAGCTCAATCATGTGATTTTAGGCTGCGTCCTTATATGATTATCTAAGGCGTCACCTTAGGAACACTTCTCCCAATGAAAAAACCAATTTTGAAGAAATTTTAAGTGAACTTAATTGGAAATATAACATGATAATGTGGGTTTTAGGGCATTTTTCTTCAAATTCAAAACTTTCACATTTTCTAAAAACATCAACCAAACAGCCTCTTATTAGAAAACAAAATCCATTAGAATACTTAACATTGAAAAGGGCTAAATTACCAAATTGATATATTTAGTGGCATCTCGCTACCAGTAAGTTAAATTTCCAAATGTGTGCAAACACCTTGCAACCAAACACCTTCAGATGAGAATAGAAAAAATCTTTTTCAGACCAAACTCTCTTTGGAATATCAAAATCCAAAGAAACTGAAGGAGACATGTTGATTATGTAGCATGCAGTGTGAACAGCTTCAGCCCAGAAGCTCTTAGGTAACTTTGTCATCTTCAACATACATCTGATTTTCTCCACAATGGTCCTGTTGTACCTCTCTGCAACTCTATTATGTTGCGGTGTGCTGGACTCTGTCCTCTGATGCCGAATACCATGCTTGGAGCAATATTCTTTGAACTCAATGGAAGTGTATTCTCCTCCATTATCGGTGTGTAAACACTTCAACTTCTTTCATGTATGTTTCTCCACCATGGCATAAAACTATTGGAAGACTAAAAACAACTGATCTTTTGTCCTCAATAAAAAGACCCACATCTTTCACGATGCATCATCAATAAATGTAACAAAATACTTATTGCCACCCAAGGACTTCACCTCGATAGGACCACAAACATCAGAATAAATTAAATCCAGAATATTATATTTTCTTTTAGAATGCTTACGAAAAGAAACTCTATGTTGTTTGTCAAACAAACAATAATCACAAGGAGTGAGTGATGAACCTTTGACAAAGGGAATGAGAGACTTCTTTGCCAATATTTACAACCCCTTTTCGCTCATGTGCCCAAGCCTCCTATGCCACAAACTGAGAGTGTCACCGTCTTAAGCCACGCTCAAAGAATCATATGAAACCTTTGCTTGAGTCTTATATAAATTGTAACATATACTTTCTCTAGCCACTACAAGAGAGCATTTGGTGATTTTATATTTTCCTCCACCAAATTGAATTTCGTATCCCATTCGGTCTAAAGTAAGATCTGAAATCAAGTTGATCCGCAAATTAAGAACATGTCACACATTCTTTAAGATTAATGTGTATCTGGTATCTGTCTGCAAGTGATATCACTAAGTCCCACAATCTTCGAGTAGCTGATATTGCTCATCTTCACATTGTCAAAGTCACCTGCTTTATACGACGTGAAAAGGCCTCGATTGGAGGTAGCATGACATGTAGCTCATGTATCCACTATACACTCAGAATTCTGACTTATAACATGCATACAGTCTTCTTCCCTGTAAATGAAAATAACATCAGTCTCAAACAAAGTAGCTGTAGTGTCACTGTCAGCTTTCTTCTTCTCATCTTTCTTTTCATCTTCGTTCCCAGCTTGCTCCTTCTTCAATGCCCAACAATTCTTCTTGATATGACCTAACTTCCCACAATAAAAGCAACCTCTCCCTTTAGATTTTGATCTTCCCTTGGATGTGCCACGACCTCTGGATTGGTCCTTGTACCTGCTCTGCGTGATAAGTGCCTGTGAGTTATCTGTGCTGGTAGACTTCCTCTGAGTCTCCTCATTGAATAAACTACTGTAACCATAAATCATCGATAATACACCTTCTGGAGCTGTGTTGCTGACTGTCACAACCAGTGTCTCCCAACTGTCTAGCAAACAACTCATTAGCAATAAAGCCTATAGCTCATCATCGGTTATCATCTTTATGGTAGCTAACTGATTAATCAAACTCTTGAACTCATTCAAGTGTCCTGCTATGTTGCTTTATTCTTTGAATTTTAAGTTCACCAACCGCCTCATAATAGACACCTTATTTCCTGTGGTCTTCTGCTCGTAGAGATTCTCAAGCGTCTTCCAAAGAGACTTCGCGTTAGTCTCACCTACATGATGAAACACACTAGTGTCGATCCATATCCGAATATAATCAATCGCCTTCTTGTGTTATTTCTCACATTCTTTATCAGTCATCTTTTCTGGCTTAGCTTCATCTCCCTCAATAGGGTCATGTAAATCTTTACAATACAGAATATCTTCCATTTTGGACTTTCATACTTGCCAATTGGAACCATCTCATTTCATCATTGTGCTAAAACTCTTCATCTTTTTCATCCCAAAGCACGCCTCGAACTAGGGCTCTGATACAACTTGTTAGGGATTTTATGAAGATTAATCTGCGGAATTAAACACTAAACGAATAACGACACCAATAAAAATACCACAAGCAAGCAAACACTAAGATTTAACGTGGTTCGACAAATCATACCTACATCCACGGAGCAATCCAGAGAGCAATATTCCACTATCAATCAGGAGTACAATCCCTCAAAGTTACACTTGAATTTGAGGATTAAATCACAAAGAGAAAAATACAGTGTTACTTTAGGCACCAAAACCCTAAAATATGTCTCACCACAAATCTCCAACTCCTGCGAAGAAATCAACATCGTACCCTAGACGACGTTGTCGTTCTGAAGACAACGGCTTTTGAATCACTACACTTTGACAACCGAGCTATCTGAAATCTGAACTTTTCTCTCTTTCTTTTTTCTCTCTTTCTTTTTTCTCTCTCTCATCTTTTTCTCTCTCGAGTTACCGTTCTCTGATTACTGTAGCAAAAAAAAAAAAAAAAAAACTCAGATTGATGATCTTCATGTGCCCCAATTCCTTTAATAAAGGAAATTTATCCCTAGGCCCTCCTTTTCTATTCGAATTAGGAATAGGCCCCTCAAATCCTTTTCTTAGTAGGATACAACAAATTTGATCTAGTTTTTGTGGGCCTCAATTGGGATGAACCCACAACAGCTATTACATTTACTCTCGACATTGGATATGGAAAAGATAATTTTCAAAGAAGATGTGGAAGTGGTAATTAGAGATATCCAAAATGGAGCGGAGCAGCACTCGGTTTTCAGACACTTTATGGATGATATTCAGCAATCTCGCACATGACTCAATGAATGAGATTTTGAGATAGCTCGTCAAACGACAAATGTAACGACTCATGTGTTAGTTCGAAGAGCTAAGAAAATTGATGAATTTGTGGTATAGCTTGAAGACCCATCATCGTTTTTACACAATATTCAGTAGTCTGATAATGAGCAACATTTTTCTACATTCTCTTGTTGTGCTTCTGGGTTTTTAGTTTAGTTTGGATGCGTCTTAATATTTTTTCTATAAAAAACTATTGCAATATAATAATTAGATCCTACTAACAAAGTAATTTATGACAACTGTCCTTCTGAACCTACTAATAATGTATTTAATATGAATTTTAGTGAGAAATGAATCCATAATTAAGCATTTATTTATCTTCTCTCACAGACTAATCAAATTCTCTTGATTAATTATGCACTAATTATTTCACAACTCATCTACTTCCATAAATGTTCCACTTGAATCTCAAGAGTTGCATAAAAGTATATTGTATATGGATGCTCAAATGCATAAAAGAAAACACTAAAAGAATCAAAAGAAGAAAATTGGAGGAGGTGAGAATTTTGATAGTGGAGTCAGTCCCTCGATTATAGTAACCAGGATACCTCGTAGTTAACAAGATTTTACAAGTGATAATTGAGAGAGAAAATTATATTGCTTTTCTTTAGAGGAAATGAATAGATCTACGACTGAGTTCACCTCCTATTTACAAAAAATATTAATTTATTAGTTATACAAGTATGCAAAATCTTGGAAAGAAAAACTAATATAAATCGTAATAAATTGCTCTTCGAATGTTTAGTCTGATGTCGCTATTTAATATGCATTACGTGCAAAGCACATATTACATATTAGTAAAATATAAAAATTGATCTCGCTTAGCCTATAAGACCTATCCAAGATTTTGTGCTGCAAATTTATTTTTTACATTTATGCCCCTCAAATATCTTATATTTGTAAAATTAGTCCTAAAACATGATTTTTTGTATAGGAAAAAAACATCATCTTTATTCTTAAACTATCACTCACCCCTCGGACTCCAACCACTTGGGATAGAGGTTTTTCTGCTGCTGTTGTTGTTTCATTCACCCCCTCTCCTCCTCTCCAACCTTATCCCCTCTCTCCCTATTCCACTACCGCTCCCCTTCTCCTTCCTCTGCTCCCCTCTTTCACATCCATCACTAGGGAGATAAGGAGAGGGGAAGAGAGACATGTGAGAGATAGAAGGAGTGGATGTGGAAGGCAAAAAGGAGAGCAGAGGAAGAGGAGGGGAGTGATGTTGGATAGAGAGAGAGGAAATAGGAGGGGAGGCCCGGAGGGGGTGGGGGAAGGAGTGGGAGAGGTGTGAGAGAGACTGAAGTGGGAGATTTTATTTTTATTTTTTCAAAAAAAAAAATCAAAATTTAAGGATAGTTTTGTGTATATGGGAGAGTTGACGGTATATATTGAAAAGTTTTGTGTATATGGGAGAGTTGACGGTATATATTGAAAAAACACTTGCACTAAGTTTGGATAGAGTTTCTTAGGAGGGAGGAGAGAGGGGGAAGGTTTAAAATGCTAGCCCTCCTAACATTGTATTTGTTTGCACTTTTTAGTTAGGAAGGGGAGGGGAGGGGAGGGGAGGGATAAAAATTAGAAAATTTATCCACTTTCTCAACCCTGCAAAAGTGGACGGATTGGGAGGGTAGAGGAGGGGTTTCAAGTGGAGTTTTTTTTTTAATTCTAATATTGTCCTATATTAAAAAAACCAAAATGCGTTCTTTTATATTTTATTAAAAGGGCATACTAGTCAAGTAGCTCTCATTCCCGTCTCATCCCCTACTCTAAACAAACACATATTATAGTGTACGCTCCCATCCCCTAGTTGTCTATCCAAATATAAATAATTACATTCCACCATTTTCCTTTCCACTCCCTCCCCTCCCTTTGGTTTAAGTCAATCACTTCCCTCCTCTCACACGCACCCCCCACCCCCCTCCCCCTTTGTATCCAAACTAACGTTAATTTGCCACTCAAATCTCACCTCGGACTAAGTGGATATATCCTAGTTGGCTTACACTGTATCATCTTTTATGTTTTTTTATCGCTAGCGCAAATAAATATATCTTATTGGTAAAGAGGTACGGCTAAGTATATCAATTTGGTAATTTAGGGGCTGTTTGGTTCGCTATTGTAAGGGGTGGAAAACTCAGAAAACCCATCCACGTCAGATTTTTAGCTCTCCACGTCAGCTTTTTCGTTTCCGTCCATTTCTTTGTGCCGCTTTGGTTCGCTCGAATGGAAGAGGGAAAACTCTGCTGAAATCGCCGCCAACTAAGATTTTTTTTCCTCTCCGATTTCCTTCCCCAACCAAGTGAAATTGATGAAAACTCTGCCACGTCAGATTTTTTCCTTCTCTGCTTTGTTTACAAAAAGTTTTTCTTTTTTTTCTATGCGAACCAAACACAAGAAAAATAAATACATTGGTTTCCCACCATTTTTTATGTGCGAACCAAACCAAAACAATCTATTTCTTGAAAAAGTTTGGAAAACTCAAAACTTGTGTTTCTTTACATGGAATTGCATTTCTCTATATCAAGGAAACGAACCAAACAGCCCCTTAAACCAAAAAAAACTCCAAATTGTCCTTCCTAAAAGATATGCACATTTGTTTTGGGTAGAATTTGTACTTTTCTTACTAGAGCAATACTTTTAGGGATACTTCTATTTTGAGGAACTCCTCAAACTTGGGGCCAGGTTTAGTCCTAGTCCTGATTTGAGCAAAAAAAATTATTTGGATAAAACTGGACCATGTCCGGTGCAATTTTTCTAAGGCCAAATTTAACCTTTAAAATTGGTTTTTTGGTCCAAAACAAAATTCATTTAGTTTAAAATCCAAGTTTAGAGTAGTTGTCAGACACATCCTGAAGAACTTTTCAAATGAAGACTAGCATTTATGGATGAGGCGCTCATGTGATAAGTCATTATGTGCACCACAATATAGATTGCCCAGTGTTTGATTGAAGAATAGCTATCATGGTCATCAAATATCTAGTTAATCTGATCCATGACATTAATGTCATGATATCAATTCGTAGATCAATTTATCAGAAGGTTGATATATCTTTGATATACACACAATCGATAACACAAATTTAAGCCACCGAATACTTTTTCTTCATCTTCATATTCTAATATGTTTTCACATTAGAAGGGTTAAGATAGATGGATGAAAGAAGCTTCATGTCGCCCACTCGAGAGCATAAGATAAAAATGATTTATCATTTGCTATTTGCTAACATAGATAGCTCGCATCAAAGAATTGCTTCCTCTGAGTTCCAACATTTGCCGCTTAAAACGCAACACAAGGATCAATAAGCAAAGAGGTCCTCGCCTACCCAAACCTCGTCGGAGCCACCGGCCGGCCAATGAATTTATTCCAAACTTTTAAAGTCTGAACCGGAGCCAGTGAACATATCTATATCAAGGTTAAGAAAGGGAACCATGCATAATTTAATATGTATAACTCGAACAAGATACAAACCAATAATTTGATTTAATTTTCAAAGCGGAATATTATTTTGACGCAATAGGGAACAAAGCAAACCCAAGTATTTGAACCAAACCTGACAAGAATAATCTCAGTCTCTAAGTACATATTGAAGAATTATTCAGGTATACGATTCAACTACAATCCTTATTAGAATACAACAAGAAAATTTCAACTCACTACACAAGAAGGGGGAAAATAGACAAAAATACTATGAAACAATTAAAAATTTCAACCACATTTTACAAATAAAACTATCAAAAAGAAACCAAGTTCTTTCAAGGTAAAGTCTTTTTTTAAAATCTCTGCTCAAATTCAAGAAGTTTGAGATTGACGATGTATTTGTAGAATCCACTCGAGGTAACCGCTGATTCCAGCGCTCTGATCCTCAACAAATTTGGAAAGAAGCAAGGCACTCTCTCTGGGTTGCTCGCCTTGTCTTACTATGTAGCATAACTGATAGGTTGAAGGATCTTTTTGTCTTAATCTGTTTAGAATCTTCATAAATTTTCTTGACATGTCATTGTCATTTTCGCAAAGTGCAGCCTACAATCATAACAGACAAAAAGAGTTGGAAACTAATATAAGTGGATCTTGCGGAATCAGCTTAGAGTGTATACTCATGATGATAGGTCATAAGTTAAGAAGGAAAAATATTCTACCAAGAGGGCTGTATAAAAAACTGGAAGGACAATATGACCAGTTTCTTGCTATCAATTCTAAATCAAGTGCAATTAGAATATAGTATCACTGCAATAAGCAATAGAGTATCAACTAGAATATGCATCAATGCAATCCCAACTTCCAATTTGTGATGAGACATGTGATATCATTGCACGCCATATGATTTTCTATAGAGAGCCCTCTAGAGGATCAGCTCCTAAGAGGCATGACAGCGTGACAAGATAATTTGGAGATGGCATTATCTTGTTACCATATTTTGGCAAGTGAAATATATGTGCATGCGCCAAAAAAAAGTGCAAGAACTAAATAAACAAAAGAATTAAAAAGGGTCATTGCAGCATCCTCTGTTTCTGTTTTTTAACGTTTCCTATTCCATAATTTCAGTAATTTAATAAAAAATTTAGAACGTCATAAACGCCATTGACATTAACTTTCTAGACACTAGCAGATTATGTTAGTCTAAAATGCATGCAAGAATACGAGTCAAGAAAACACAATAAATATATTTTTTTTTAAACCTTGCAGATGAAAAATTGTACCTTGGATATATCAGGGAAGGCAAAAAGATTTCCAAATATATTATCAACTAATTCATGCGGTAGCATGCTGCCAGACCAAATAACAAAGTTGAATCCGTTGTCAAAAATATATAAGCCTTCTCGGTCTAAACTTTGTGCAGTTAAAGGCAATGGTTTTGTAGTTTCTTCAAAATCACCTGAGGCCTGCAAACATTAATTCACAATAGGAGATGAATTAGTGATGAATTAGTGATAACCACTTCCGAATGTGTCAAATTATATGGTTAGTGTAAATAAATTTCATGGGAAATATTCAGAACATCAAAATCTGTATAATAATAGAGTTAGCTTCCAGTGTAACTTTACAAACTAAGAAAATAAAAGCAGGCTGGTTAAAACTGAAACAAAAATTTGATACTGAGATGAAGAAAAAAACTATGCATAGATTAAAGTTGATAAAAAATGTTCACAATTATACCTTGATGAGGTACTCATCGACTCTAAGCAAGCTTGGGTAAAGAAGTTTAAGCACCCTGTTTATGGGTAAAATCATCATGCTATAACCAGCTGCACATCGTTCATCTAGAGGAGCATCAGCATACCCGCCACGAAGTGCTACAGATTTGCAAAGAGATAATGCATATAGTACCAAGAACTTTAGAGATTCAGGAAATATCAACCGTCCACCTAACCGATGTTGCGTTACATATAGGTTGCGATATTCCTTTAGGCTCTTCACAATCTTCAACTGCATTAGCTGACGAGAATCCTCCAGCTTATGGGACAACGAGTGCTCAATTGCTGTGGGATTTTCAGTATTGAAGGAAAACAAATACTGGTCACTATTAGAACAACTAATATAAGAGAAATTGCAAATGATGTATAACTCACCAAGCCTGCTCAAGACTGAGATAATGGCCCCAGTATCAGCTTGGCGGTACATTTCACCAAGATCTGCTACTACAGGTGCAGCTGCTGTGTGGACTCTGATACGTCTTTCACCTGAGGAGGAAGTATATCTGATGCTTGCTAAGGAAATACGGTAGCATCAGTAGTACTTGCTTAAGAGTAATCAAAAAGAAGAGAAGAGGAAGTATATTTTGCTTAATAATGCTCAAGAATGGTGGAGGAGAAAAAATACAAGCACAAGGTACTTGAATAAACATGCAACTGAACATGATTGGCTTTGCATTTCGTTCTGTATCTTGTAACAAAATACTTGGCATCCACCAATGTGTATTCAAACAATTCTTTTTGCACGGTAATGTTTGGAAAATACGCATTCTCCCCTCCCCAACCCCCCAGGAGGGAGGGACTGGAGGGAAGGGGTGGGTTAATAATGTAAATAAATAAAGAAGCAAATAAAGTATCTCATATGAATTGCTAAAAATTGTTAAAGAAATAACGATAAGAAGGTATAACAGTCTAGATACAATAAGCTGAGATTTTTTACGAAGGATACAGAAGGGCCACTTGGAAGTACACTGTTTGGGTTGTCATTAAGGTCTCTTCCAAAGATAACTGCATTGCAAAGGCTTTATCACAATCCGCAGCAGGAAGGGCTAATAAGTCTGTGGACCTTAGCATAAAATGCCCGTGGTAAGTAGTAAAACGCACACCTGAAATGTGAGGATTCCGCATTAGAAATCAATAGCATTTTTCAAGGAACAAATGCTGAAGAAACCAAAGAAAGTCTAAATAAACCTTTTCCGCATCTAATGCGCATCACAGCTTCCCAAGCTGTTTCCCTAGTGATATCCCTGGCCAACTCATGTCTAAGTTTCTCTTGATGGATGGGTGCCTGGAAAGATGGATAATAATATACCTGGCCACCAGTATATTTGGCAAGAGAACCTGAAAAATTAGCTAACATATTAGGAACGTAAGGCATTCAAATATTACTATTCATCATTGACATGTTTTCAGCGTAGGCACCTAGAGAAGCTATATCAGAGTACTTGTCACTGAAAGCATAGATATCCACCGCAATTTGATTCTTTGTAAATTCAGCAGCCATTTGCTTATAAAACGGATCTTCAGGGACCCTCAATATGTGCTCTTTGTCAGTTCCATAGACACGGAGATCATCACCACGCAACCTTAGGCGACCAATGCCAAGAGAAGGCAAAGTACTCTGAAAGACAAGCAGTTTCCCTCCAAGTTGGCTCTGGGAATAAAAACACAGTACAACAGTTAGCAGGATGTATAGATGAGGTAACTTCCTCTTCTGAAACCACCAAAGATGTCAAGTAAGAAGATCTACCATAATCATGAATGCGGCCTTCAGAGCAGGACCAAAGGCAGATTCTGGATTTGTATTGCCCTGGAACATACTGGGCAAGCTATCTAAGAATGCATCCACAACATGCCTTGAATCAGAGAGATTTACAAGAAGATCATCAGGCAGGGGTAAGAATATATCATCCAAATCTGCTACCACCATCATTTGAGGCTGTGTCAAAGAAGACTGGCACATGCAAAAATAGCGAATGAATATTATTGACGCTAGGACCTTATATACAATCACAAAATTTAGAGTGGTCTACAGTTTTACAACAAGCGAACAGTAGGTGAACTACAGCTAACATTCAGGCAACTGGGAAGAGAAATAACATGCCTTCAGACAATAGAAATGTAATGTGCTGTCAAAAGTTAAGAAGCCAATTTGCGTCCTGGGGAAGCCAGGTAGCTCGTCGAGACAAGACTTTATTGTTTTAGCTACAACCTGCAAAAATATAAGGAAACTGATAAAAGTGCCTACACGCCCACACACACCACCAAAAAAAAGGAACCAAAAAAACTGATATCATCATGGCTGAGTTTACTAGAGACTCTAGGGTGATTGAGTCAGAAAGCTAATACAAACTGTCTAGAGAATAAATGAAGAATTCACGTAAAGGCTATACGTTGCAAACTAACTCCTTACCTCAAGCAGACCACTTCGAGCAGCAGATACTGAAACATCAATAAGGAAAAAGTACAGTGGTGGCATAGGTGGTCGCACCATATACTCAGTTGGAGCAACAAATTCCACACTTCCCTTAGAAAGCTCAGGTCTTTGATAAATATCATGTCTCCTTCCATTGGCATCTAAACCACAGAGATACTCTGCTGGAACTGGACAAAGAAGTATTTATGCATGTCAAAAACTACCTTATCACCAAAAGCTTAAGTAGATGGCTTGCAAACATCATGGTTACACTGCTTGTAATTTAATGTAAATGTGCATACATGCATAGGTAACTACCTCCTCTGTCATATACTGTTTTTTCAAGAATTCCAACATAAGTGTATTCATATAACATGGAATTTGGTATTTCTTAAATTTGACTCTACTAATGAATCATTGACTGAAAATACTAACAAATAGCAGCAAACATGACATACCTTTCCTAATAATGGAAAATAAGCAGCTTCATAAATGACTTGTAACAGGAGGAAGACAGCATTCTTTGAAAACAGAAAGTAGCAGAAATGAAGCTGCAGAAGGAAATCAAATGCAAAGAAGCAAACTAGGAAAATCATGTGGTAGTACAGCCTTGTGGTGCATCAATTCTTTCGTGATTCTTGAATTCTTGCAGATTTTTGGCGTCAAAGTTATTGGGATTAATAAATATCAACAAGTTGTTACCTTCCAACTTTCCTTTCTCTTTATCATATCCTAGTAATCTCCAAAAAAAAGAGCAAATATGATAATATTGGTCTCAAACGTCTAGCTTCAAGTGCCTCAATTTCCTACTGGTTATGTAAAGGACATGCTCAAATACGCAGGATGCATGTTATGCAAATTTATACGCATTGTACACATTATACACATTTATATACACTCAACAAAGTTGATGCCGAGAATTTTTATCGTGTTATAGTAACACACATCCAGTATGTGAAGCTCAACGATTCTCATTTTCTTCAGGCAAATTATTGCATATGTCCAGCCAGAACTCAAGAATGAGCTTTCTGTAGGCAGTTTACAAAAGTGTAATCAGAGTATTCCTAAATCTAATTGACAAGCTTGAACTGTATCTTCTACAAGAATCCAAAAGACTAACTATAGCTAAAGATAAATTGGGCCAGTCCAGCAGCCACATAGAAAAATATGAACACGTTAAACAGCTTTTTCTCTACAGTCTACATTAGTTATACATCTTCCAGTCTGTTTCTTGTTGCACACCATAAAGTGCATATTAAGTATTTAACGAGATATATATACAAATCTGAAAATTTAAAACTCTCACTAAACAGAATTTATTAAAGAAAATTAGAAATTAAGTAAACTGAATAACACACAAAGACATCATAAATCATACTTATTGCATCAAAATATATTTTAGAGCAACTAATGCCTGTATTGCAGCTATCAGATGGAATTTTAAGGATTAAGTAAGATTTAAACCTTGATATGGTAAAGTGAAAAGAATTTGGTATAAGTATTCTGGTCCTATCAACAAGTTCTCTCCATCTAGAGAACCTTCAACTAAAAATCTAATCATCTCTCACTTTCTTGAGTATAAGATCATCTCCTAGCATGGAACATCTATCTCAGCAAAAAGCTAGATTTAGTAAACTATCTTTATAGTTAATCTCAGCGACAACAGCAAGAAATATACTTTAGAATGAAAATTTCATAGCTATTATTTGGATGTAAGACAACAAATGAAGTTCTTTTAGAGAAATACCATAAATCAAAGCACGAAAGAAAGCATAATATATTGAAAATAGGCAGGTGTCTGAATGATGAACATTGTGGGTTTTCCATTCAGGCTCTCAGGGTGCCATCTAGAGAAAGCAGTATGAATTAAGAGCAACAATCATAACAAATAGATCATAAACAGAAGTGGAAAATAACAATCACCCTGAAAAACTTAAATTGTCTTCTTTAAGTCTATATGTAAAAATCCAACTTATATTGTTCTAAGTTCACCAATAGCACTAACATCGAACAAACAGTGGAGATCGACTAAATTGAATGCCTAGAAATATGGAACATCTTATCATGGAAGGCTCAAACATTTCCAATGCCAAAATCATGAAAACAATTGCCAAGGTGCTTACTTATGATATTGAAGCAGATACAACTACAACAGAATCATGCTGGTAATAAACTTAGAAGGCAAGAAAGAAAGAACATGTAAGGTGCATACCGTCATTAAGCAAACCACAAAGATTGCAGCGCCATTTCCTTCCTGCCTCTGTGAATGTTACATATGGATTCACATACGTTCGACATCTCCGACATCTAATAACACCTGCTGATCCAAAGTTAACAACTGGCACCTCTTCCTGAAAGAATAGCAAAAAAGCAGTGTGAGTATTTATGACAAGGTGGGCTAATTGGAGCAAATGGTAATCACAGATCTGCGGGCAAGGGCATGTATATAAGCACAGAGTTTTACTGACCCCATCTGGAACTTCTGCAAGAGGATGAACTACGGCACCAAGTGGTAAATGCCACCTAGAAAGCAGCGACTGGGAATTAGGTATGGCATGTGTAGTCAGCCTCAAAAATCTCGGGTGACAATTCAAAGGGTATGATTTAAGAACGGAGGTTGGCTCCCTATCACCATCTAACGGCCTTGGCAATGATTTTGGATCTATTCCAGCGTCAACTGCCCCAGGAACAGAACCCACAGACAATGACTGAAAATCCTCTACCAGACCCTGAATGGTACCTCCTATAGGAGGTCCTGTAGTAGGGTACTGCATTTGTTGAGTAAAACCGAAAGGAACTCCAGTAGGTGGTGGAGGCGGTTGCATAAGTCCTCCTTGATAGGCATGAAAGGGAGGTTGCGTTGGCGGAATAGAGGCAGTGGGAAAAGCTTGCCCGGGTGGTTGGGAAACTGGTCTAGGAGGAGAAAACTGTGAATCAGTTTGTGATTGGAATACATTAGCACCTGGAACGGTATTAACGTTGCCATATAAAGGTGCTTGCATAGGTGGTCTAGTTGCAGTAAATGGTGACTCAGATGGTGGAGGGGCCACGTTAGCTCTAGGAGGTACTTGGTTTGCAGTTTGGGGAGGAAAACCTCCTGGAAACAGGGGAGTTTGGGCCTGAGATTGAAGATACCCAGGAGGAGGAACAGATGGTGGACCTAGAGGGGGACCCCGTAAAGGAGGCATAGGTTGGCCGCTTGAAGGAAACCGAGGAGGAACTTGTGATTGCGGAAAATTACTCGAACTTTGTGTGGGGTAAGATGATGGTGGAGGGGTGGCTGGACCATTAAACTTAACAGATGGAGGTTGAGACCTATAAGCGGATGATTCTGGGCCAGCTAAGGGTCCAGATGCCAAGAATGGCATGGACGATTGAGAAGGACCTTGTGGTCTAAAACCAACAGGAGGAGCAGAGGGTCTAAAAGGAGGAGAACTCTGCGAAGGAACTGGGAAGGCTGCAGCAGGTTTTCCAGGAAAGTTTGTCAGCTTTTCATTCCCCTGCTGCATATTTGCTTCACCTTATTCAGGCAATACAGAGCCTGATCTGCAAGATAATATTTTAATCATTAGACATCTGTAATAGCGAAAAGGATGTGCAATCTACAAAACAAAGAGCAAGCATTCTAAGAACAAGGAATCTAGTTGCAGAAGACGTGCAATGGATATTAAATTTGATAATTACAACCAAGTTTTCAGCTAAAACTGAATCTGATAGATGTGGTTACTCCAGAGTGTCTAGAAATTATCATGTAACAAGTTGCCTTTACACAGGTAAGATCTTTATTCTTAGGACATCCTTCAATGTTATTAATGATATATAATTATATCTCTACAATTTTTCAAAATAAAAACATAACAGAACCAATAAACAAATTTCCTCATTTTTGAAGCACTTCAAAGAGAATGTTTCCAAATTTAATCATTATGACTGCAAACATGTTTCTACACCATATGGTCCAAACGTAGTTCCATGGAAGAACTAAGATGAATAAGTGCAACAACACTTATAAACACCATAAATTGATTCTCATTTGTATTTCTAACAGGACCTAACTTGACACTGCATTTGGTATAAACAAACTAAATAAATACGCAAGCAATCCCAACAAAGATCACTGGAGTACCAAATACCTAAGAGGCACAATCAGTAATCAATTGTTCTATCAAGTTATGATGAAATTATTGAAAGCCATAATGATGCAAACTAAGTAATTGACCCCCAAGGTATCAAATCCACATAAGGATTTGTATTCATGTTTGATGGAGCTGTTATTTCCTGGATACCAGTTAATCGAATATGAATTAGTTGTTCTAGATACTGAACGCAAAGAAGATGAATGGCTTGACATGACGTTGTTCGGAAACTTGTTCAAGCTATTTTATTCGTCGTGACAATAAGATTGTCATTGTCACACCGCTGAGTGAAACAACCTGCACAACTAATTTAACCACCCAGGATACAACCTACAGAATCTATATCACCTTGACACACCGAGGAGTAAAAACAAATCAAATAATGAATCAATCAATTCCCACCTTTGACAAAGCTTGCCAAGTTATTGTATCAATATGCTCCCATGTCAATGTCATTGTTGTCACCTTGAGCAACCATGACATGTGACACATACTACGACAATCTCAAGGCAACTTGAGCAACCACTATCTGTATATTGTGGCGATATGGAGATATTGATTCTTTTGGTACTAACTAATAATGGACTGAGATGAATTTCAATTCAAAAATTCACAACAAAAACTTCAAATCAATTACTCAGGGTATAACTAATATCATAATATTCTCCTTTTCCAGTCAAATTATTTGCCACTTCACACATTCTCTACATGGAACTAGTGAAAACTCAAAAAAAATCATACTAACACCAAACTCAAGATCTTTGAAGCTTTATGATACTATTCAACAATCTCCATGCCTTGAGCAACCACCATAAGTCTATCCAAGTTTCTCATCATGGTGTATAGCCTCTACTGCCACATGTTGTGGCAATAGGGAGACATTGAATTCCAGTACAAAGTAATAATGGTCTAAGACAACTTTCAACTGAAAATGTTACCAAAGGCGCAGATGAACAGTCCCTTCACTGCTCTCTTCCCAGAACAGAACTAATTTCACAATATCCACCCTTTTCTAATCAAGTTCCTCTCCAACTGGCATATTTCTTCAATATTATTAAATTTTGAACATTTCATATACAGACCCAAATTCAAATCTTTACTGCAGTAACAACGCAAAATAATATTGATACTCTCCAGTCATCAAGTTCAAAGCTCTATGCTGCTATTCAAGCCACAAGATGTTAAGATTATCTCAAAATGCATCAATTTTTTGAATGAGATCTAGCATCAATAGGCCCTAATAAGTAATAACAAACAAAAAGGGGCGTGAACTGAAGATCACGATGCCTGTAGTTGCATCAATAGACTAACTACACAGTGACTATTTGACCTCCCTGAAAACAACCTAGACAAACTATTTCACTCTGACACGCCCACAAGTAAAATAACTAATGTGGTGCCTTTGACAGACATTACTATATCCATATGCTGCCATGTCAATGCCATCATTGTCATCCTTAAGCAACCATGAATAACTAACACATACTGACAACAAACTCGAAGCAACCTGAGAAACCACTATCCATGCTTGTCACCACATCGAATTTCACAGAACGCATTAATAATGGACCGAGATCACTTTTCACAGAAAACACTTAAACCAAGATCATGTATCAATTACTCCCTCTACCACTCTTTTCCATTGAACTTCTTCGCCACTTGAAATATTTCCCAGATGAAACAAGTGAAGATTCTACAAGTGCCAAAGTTCAAATATTCACAGAGATAACAATGCAAATTACTATAGTAGCTTCATGCTACTATTCAACTCGTAAGATGTTAAGATTATACCTAAATTCATCAAATCTCCATTATACAAAAAATAATATCACAAAATTCATCCTTTTCTAGTCAAATTCTTCCAGTATTGAACTAAAATCACAATACTCATCCTTTTCTAGTCAAATTCCTCTCCACTTGGCATATCTCTAACATGAAATAAGTGAGAAATAAATTAAAATTACATAATAAAAACCTACGTTCAAATATCTAGTAACACAAAAATGCACAGTATACCAAACATTTATGCTACTATTCAACTCGCATAGTGTTAAGATTATCTCAAAATTCGTCAACACTCTAATGAAATCTACGAAATTACGATGAGATCTTGCATCAATAAACCCTGATAGCAAGCAAAAGAGGAGTAAAGCGGAGATCGCGATACCTGTGTGGATCGGGTCGGGTTCGGATCCGGATCCGAGAACGGAGGAGAGGGGAATCGGAGATCTGGTGGAGGAAGAGAGGAGTGGATCCGATAACCCGCGAAGGAGCGACGAAGCGAGGGAGGAGGAGAATTTTACCGGCGAAGCGGAGAGAAATTGTAATTTATTTGCAAAGAGGAGTTTTGTCATCGTCGGGATCTGGAGATTTATTGGGCCGGATTCGGTGATTTATTTCGTTCAATATCTAACCCGGCCTACATCCGAATTGGGATCAATCTCAATTTTTTTAACTAAGTTCCCCAAATTTCATAAATTCTGAATAACCTTTCCAAATTTATAAATTCTCTTATACGGTAATCAAACCTTACCTTTATAACCATCACGGGTAAAATCAAGATATTACCATCGGCCCTCTGAAAATCTAAAGTTTGCAAAAAACACACTAAAGTTTCAAATAGTACTAAAAATGTCCGCAGAAGTTCAATTTTTTTTTTCTTTTTTCTTTTTCTTTTTTTTTTGGGGGGTGGGGGGGGGGGGGTATGCCTGTTGTTTGTAAATTTTGAAATTTTATTGCATTTTTACAATTTTTTAGAGCATTTTTTTAAACGTTGAGGTTTTTTTTTTTACAAATTTCAAATTTTCAGAATGACTCTTAGTAATTTCTAATGTGTGATGTCGTAAGTTTTGAAATTTCAGGGTGTTTTAAAGTCTTCATGGTGCTTTTTTACAATTTTTGAAAATTTTAAGGTGTCTTTTGCAAACACAAAGTTTTAAGGACTGATGGTAATTTTCAAGTTTCCTATGTGGGGAGTAAGTTTACAAATCTTAGGGTTTTTTAGTAAATTTGAACTTTTGATTGCAATTTTTGAACTTTGAGGGTGGTCTTACAACTTTCAATATTTTAGGAGGTTGATGGTGATTTCTTCATTTCATCTTTGTTATCTGTAAGTTTTGAAATTTCAGGGTATTTTTGTAAATTTAAACTTTTGCGGGTGTTTTTTAGTATTTTTGAACCTTTAAGGGATTTTTCTATAATTTTTATTTTTTTATGTGTTTTATTTTATTATTTGGATTTTATATATTCATTTATTTATTTTTATTTTTTGACAATTTTATGGTTTAAATCCTAAAAGTCGAAGATGAAGGTCTAGATGTGTAATTTGATGTTCATGTAGAATTAAGATTAAGTTAAGTATTTAATATTTTTTAGGATAATTATGGTACTTGTATTTGATGATAGATTTGAATTAAATTGTAGTTATTGATGTCAGATATCAAATAAGGAAATTTAGTGTGGTTCTTTAACCTTATTTAATTGGAAATTTAGTGTGGCTCTTTAACCTTATTTAATGGTTGATTATTGAACAGAGGATTTGGTCCTGCGCACAAACAATATGTAAGAGAATCGGAGTTGGGTTCTTCGGGGGTTCCTCCTCCGACTAAGTCAGTATTGATCAAAAGTACGATTGTAGTGTGTTATATTGCCAAGGATCATGTACCTCCATGCAATATGCAACACACCTTTTTATAGCAGATCCAAGAGGGCAATTGTGTAACTTTGGCCGAGTCCAAATAGTATGCTTATTCAGATGATACTTTACAGGTGTCGACTGCGGGTGGTATGAGTCATCTTTGTGACTAATGCGAGGGTGACAGGGGGGAAGCAAGGTGTTAACAAAGTCTAATGAGTCATTAAGACTTTTGGGGTCGATGTAATGATGACTCTGACCTTGCATTTAATGTGATTGTGATCGGCTATTGGCCAGAGGTTCTAGAATGTCTGTCTTTCATCTCGGCCTTGCGAGAGGGCATAGAAAAGATGCCTTTCGACTCGGGCACTTTGATGAGAGGGCTTCTCGACTCGACTCAATGAATGACAATGCACGGAGTTGCTCTTAGTAGCAGGGTCCGAGTGAGGATGCCTCTCGACTTCCCCATCTAGGAAGGGGCTAAGTGACGATGTCTTCTGGTCCGACCTTCTTGGAGTCAGGTCAACTCGGTGTATAGTTAATCTAAGACACGCGTTAAGTGTATAGTTAATCCAAGACATGCGTTATCTTCTAGAATGGAATTAACACTTTGTCATTTATATGTTATTACAGTAATTTTTACTATAATAAATGATAATTTGTCCAATTTTTTTCCATAATTTTAAACTTTTATGAGGAATGTAATATGATATGATGTGGTATGAGACAGTATAGTATATTGAGTAGGTCCAAGTTATTGTTGGCGGGCCTATACATGGGCCTTTCATGATTGACTAAGAGCTTGATAGTCAGTGGGCAAAGGACACTTCTGGTGTCTTTCGGCAAGTTCGGTTTTCCTGTGGTACAAACCAATAGGCAATATATACATAAAGTGCACTACTCATTGAAAATTTTAATATTTCATTATAGTCTGCATACATGATTAACATTTTTTTAAAGTATTTATCCATTATATTTTTATATAACTAGCAGATAACTTTTACTCCCTAAAAAAAGTATTTACTTGTGATTAAATATTTATTTACAGTATACGTCAATAAACATTTTAAAAGCGCTTACCTTTCATGTACATATGTATGATTTTGCTTTTATTGTACCCTGTGATAATCAATATTTTTTTATGCAAGGTTTTATATAGGAGGCCCACAATCATTTTTATGGCAAGCCTTATGCATAGGCCCACATCATGTTGGAATTGAGAAAAAATACAAGTTCTCAAAGGCTCATCCTAGAAGGCCCAACCACCTGCTGGTTGTTGCAATTGATTTTTGTGAGATTGGTGAATTATTTTTTCCCCGGAACTTTTGCCCAACAAAACCTCCGTGACTTGATAACTCCCAAGATCAAAACGTGAGATCCTCTGAATTTTTTGTTACTACTACCCTTTTACCACAAATTAAACTTCCTTAATCTTAGGGTTTCTTCACTCAATCTTTTCCTATATAAACCAATCCCCTCTTCTCCCCATCTCTATTCCAAAACGGCAAGAAAAATAAAACAAAAAAAGAAAAAAGAAAAACCCAATCGAGAACAAGAGGAGGAGAGGAGCGAGATTTGGATTTTCTTTTGGGACTTAGGGGTAGGGGTGCTAAACCATATCCGTATCCGAAAAAATATCCGTAACCGTATCCATTAGGATACGAATATGGTTACTCAAATCTATAACCGATAGGATATGGTTACGGATATGGTTTTGTAGTGAAATATATGTATCCGTATCCGAAATATCCGAATACATATTAGTCATACTCTTACGATAGTTTCGATTCTTAGATTATGGATTTGTGGTTAATTTTTATGATCAAAATGTCTAATCTTAACTTTTTAATTATAATGAACATATTAACAAACTCTTTTGTATCACATGAACTATGTTTTTCTCAATACTATCTAGTTTTCTCATATCTGTTTTGTATCTGCATGCATATTCGCTTATATATCCGCATGTATATCTGTAACCGTATCCGATTTTAGCGGATATGGTTATAAAATTTTCTTACCGATGTATATCCGTATCCGAGATGGGTAAGCGGATATGGATATGATTAGCATCATATCCGAGCCGTATCCGGACCGAATGCACCCCTACTTGGGGGTCATAGTCTTTTCTTCGACAAATCGGTAAGCATTCTTTTCCTTAAATATTATTATTTTCATTATTATTATTTTTTATTTTTCCTTCAAGCAAGCATTTTGTTTCCACTCGTTAGTTTTTTTTTCATGATTTTAATATTTTGTAAGTTATCAATTTGATTAGTACACTATACATAATTCACTGTACATATGATATTAATTTGATTAGTTCACTGTACATATGTTAGTAATTTGATTAATTTATTGTATATATATTTTTAAATCTTTTAGCATAGAATTATTTATTTGTGATAGTTTTATCTATGTTTTAGTTGTTTTAGTAAATAGTTTGATGGCATGAGCTATAAAATAATGAAACTCTATGACCAAATTGTTTCTATCATTGATTTCTTGTTCCCTTCAGTAGACAACTAGTTACAGTCATGTATGTAGATATTTCCTCATTGGTATGAATTATTAAATATTAGATAGTAGCATGTACAAATAGGGGTGTTATCGGAGCGGATACGGTTCGGATATGACACTTACCATATCCATATCCGCTTCTTATAAACGGATACGGATACGGATACGGATCATTCTCGGTAAGAAAAAATACTAACCATATCCGCACTTATCGGAAACGGATACGGATCGGATATTTGAGAATCGGATCGGATATTATCACGGATATTCATGTAATTAGAATTACAACCAAATAGGTAAATGTATGTGGTTATAGGCTTCTCTTTAATTCACATATAATTAGAATTACTAAAATTGAGCACAAATCTATTAGACATAATCTTCATCCAAAACCTTCAGTAGCACAAAACACAAACATTTCACAAGTCGACTATGACACAACATTTCACAAGAGGACTAAAGTTCAGACAACCATGACACAATAAGTTCATACAACCAACTAAAACAATAGTTCAGACAACCATGACAAACATTTCACGAAAAGAGAACTGAGTCAACTGACACACTACTCTTGAATCAACAGCCAGCAACATTTGCGCAACTTCTCTTCCTTGAAATCATCTCCTTCTTAATTAGTTCTCTTCAGACCAGTATCAAAACAACATATTAAGGTAATGAATGACTTTGATCGCGTTGACCATCTCGGTTTTCAAAACAACATATTTACTACATTTAGATATTAATCTACTCACAACTACTAGCTGGTCCTGATATACGAAGTGAGCAAGAAGCAAAACAAATCAAAATCAAGTCACTGAAGAGCAACACATACATTAGAATTTCAAGGAAGGGAAGTGGAAGCGAATTTTTTTTAAAAGAAATTAAAAAAAAATTTATTACCCTCTTTTCAAGCAGAACAGCACGCTTCGTCTTCCAGTCCTCATCAGCTGCAATAAATCCCTCAAAAAAAATCAATAAACAAATGCATAAAACAGCAAGGTGAGCAAAACCCATTACCAGATTTGCTAAATATATGTTTACATAAAATAAAATAAAAAGAAACGCCTGGTGATTTGACTTGTTTGGTGGCCGCACATCTAACTTGGAGGGAAGAGGGAGCAGCAGGGTGAGAGAAGGATCTGAACCCAACGGAGGAAGAAGAAAAAGAAGATCGCCGGCGAACAGC